GAGCTAGAGACAATGTTATTCATATTAACGCTAAAATAATATCACCAATTTCAAACGGATTCACTGACATAAGTCTTTCAGGATTCTACAATGTTCTAGAATCACAATTACAAGCTGCAATGAACCCTGAACAGTACTGTAATTTTGAAGGGCACATACACACATATCTTTATACTGATCATGGAAGCTGTCTCTTAAAAATCCTAACAAAGGGCCAAACTCAGGAGGTGGAGGTAAACAGATCCCTGTGAAATTGAGGCCAGCTTGGTCTATATAGCAAGTTCCAGGCCAGCTGGGGCTACAGGGAAACTGTGTCTCAAAAAGACCAAAAAAAAAAAAAAAAAAAAGAAGGAAAAAGAAAAGAAAGGGGCTGGAGAAATGGCTCAGTGGTTAAGAGCACTGGCTGCTCTTGTAGAGGACCTGGGTTCGATTCCCAGGACCCACATGGCAGCTATGAACTGTCCTTAACTTCAGTTCCAAGGGACTCTGAAGCCCTCTTCTGACCTCCAGGGCACTGCACAACACAGGTGCACTCACATACATGAGTGCAATACATTCATACACGTAAAATAAAAATAATAAAATAAAAAGAAAAGGAAAAAAAATCCTTAACAAAGGGGCTGGAGAGCTTGCTCAGCAGTTAAGAGCACACACTGCTCTTGCCGAGGACTAAAGTTTGGTTCCCAACACCCACAATGGACAGCTCACAACCACCAATAACCCCAGTTCTACGGGGATCCGATACCTCTGGCCTCCGAAGGCACCTGTACTCAAGTGTACATACCCACACAGACACATACACATAATTAAAAATAATTGTTTTAATCCTAATAAAGAGAGATTACTTTGTCTTTTCCTGAAATACTACCCCCCACACATTCAAAAGAATGGTATTAGGTTGTAGAATGTTCATAGACTCCAATCCTGAGAAATGAGTGCTTACTTTCTGATGGGGTTTTCACTATTTCATACAAGATCAGAAAGTTGTTGGAATTCCTTTTACCAAATGAAACGCCAAACGTTTAAATTAAATCCACACAGAAAATCTATTTGAGCATCTTCCATCCAAAGAGTCCTTCTTGTTGTGTTAGTCTAATACTCTAATTCATGACTAAATCGAGTGGTTGATAGCTGAATTTTATATTTGATAGTAAAACACTTTAAATTCTTAGGCCAGGAGTAGTGGCACAGAACTTTAATCCCAGCGCTTGGAGGCAGAGGCAGGCAGATCTCTTTGAGTTTCAGGCCAGCCTGGTCTACATAGCAAGTTCCAGGCCAGTCAGGGCTACATAGTGAGATCCTGCCTCAAGAAACCCAAAACAGATAACCAAAAAAATTTAATTCTTCAGATTAATTTTGCAACTACCTAAGGAAAAATGAATGAACCACACACTGAGGAAGTCACTTTAAAGAACTGCTTGAACAGGTGAATGTAGGTCTGAGGGATTATTTAGGTTTTTTCCCAACTCCATTACTGACTGCTACTTCCTTATCTTCCTAATATTTACACTTCCTTTTTTATGGGGTAGGGAAGGGCAGACAGGGTTCCACTCTGTAGCCTAGTCTGGCCTGGAATTACATCCGTAGCCCAGGCCAGCATCAAACTCATGGTGATCTTCCTGCCTCTGCCTCCTGAATGCTGGGATTATGACACTGAGATAACCTATCAGGTCTGGGTACTTTTTCAGCAATCCCCATATTATTCAACTATTTCAGCTACATAACTAATGCTTAAAGTTCTGTCCGTCAGCATTAACTACAACATGTAAGCAGTTAAAAATCTATTTTGTCCATTCTTTGAGGGAAAGCAAGCAAAAGAACATTTAGCTCAGCCTTTAAATTCCACTTCAGAGATGAATTTAGGGACTGGGGAGATAGCACAATGGTAGAGCACTTGCCTCCAGCATGCGTGGACCCTGGGTTCAATCCCCAGTACCTCAGAACAGAGGAAGTGGGACTAAAGCATCTTTTGGTAGTAAAGAAAGCACACTGAACTTGGAGGTTCCAAAAGCAGTACAATCTAGTTAAACACCAATCAATGTGGGGCTTAGAAAGTTTTGTGTCTCATGCTCAATATGGTAATCATGAGCCACAATTAGAGATTAAATTTTATATAATTTAAAGTTTAAAAAAAATCAAAAAGCAGTTCCTGGGTCTCACAGCCACATTTCAAGCACTCAGTGCCATGTGCCTCCTGGCTGCAGTACAGCCCACACAGAGCCATTTCTATCCCTGAGGAACCACTGGACATGGGGCAAAGCCACTGGTACCCTGATTTCTGTGAACTTAGATGCCCTTGTTTGTAAAATGTGCATTTAACACAGCCTAGATCAAAAGGTTAGAGTTCCATTATTTAGATAATGTCTAAAAGTCACAGAGACCGTGTTTAGTATTCAATCCATATCTAAGAAGGAATTACTATTAGTACAATTCTGGACCAGGCATGGTGGCACAGGCTGTCATCCCAGCGTTGGGAAAGCCAAGGCAGGAGGATGGTTGTGAGCTGGAAGCCAGCCTGGGCTATAAGATGAGATCCCATCTCAAATCAAAAACTTTTTTGTAAGTAAAATCCTGGGGCTGGAGAGATGGCTCAGCAGTTGCAAGCACCTGAGTTCTGTTCCCAGCACCCAAGTAAGGCAGCTCACAACTCCCTCTAACTCCAGCTCCAGGGGCACTAACATCATCTCTGGGCTCTACAGCCACCTGAACTTTCATATGCAGAGACACAAAGACATACACATACATACATAATTTAGAAATAAAATTAAACTCTTTTAAAACATAAAAGTACAAGTCCTAAATTTTGGTCTATGACAATAATCCTAAACTAGCCATTTCCCTTCTCTGTGCATCATTTTCCTAAGCTGAAATGTTTGGGAAGTTCTTCCAAGGTCCCTGACGCAATGCTGCCAGTTTCAAGGGTTGAGCAGACGGGGTTTAAACTCCCGTGCGTAGCTGAGCTCCTGGTGCTCAGATGGGATCTCCAGAACCCAGAAGAGTGGCTCTCCATGCAGTCCATGTGCTGATGAGAGCTATTTATAAAGTGTTGTCTTAAAAGATTACCAGAATATCTTTCTGAAATTGTATATTCTGTAGTTAGATGCTGCAAGACCTTCACTCCCTGAGACCTCAAGGCTTTAATGGATCCTAAAGAAACACTACCCTTAAACGCTAATGTTTTAAGCATTTAAACCAAAATACTTTGAAAAGTACATGTGAGTTTAAAAACAGTATAATTATGCAAATTTGTTTTATCATTACCAGCTATGCCTCATTTTTAGCCAGCCTGGGGGTGTCCCTCCAGTGTCCCAAAAAAGTGAGACTAGCTGTTGAGAATTCTACCCTCCTGGGTGAGGTCCCCATGCGGGGCCAGAAGAATGTCAGGAGACTTTATTTACCCTCTTCAACAGCTGCACCCAGGGAGCCAGGAAATTTACTGAAGCTAATATGTGGTGCATCCAGAGAGTCAGCCTCCAATCGGGAGAGAACCAAGGGCCCCCGCAAAACCAGGACAGGGCTGCTAGGGGCTGTGGGGCACAGCTCAGATCCCCAGAGTCCCAGCCTAACTCGGAGGTGCAGGAGCAACTCCGAGAACTCAAAGGAGAACAGAGCGGTGCAATTTTGCTCAAGGCCTGGAGTCTTTAAAAAAAAAAAAAGAATGTTATTCCAGAACGGATTCCTTTTCTTCCGGGTCTGTCTGCTCCTTCTGGCGCTGCCACAACCAGGGTGCCTCCCCTTTTCCCGATGCCCCACCTCTTGCCACATTTATAAGAAAGAAAAAAAAAAGAAGAAAAGAAAAGAAAAGTGGCATAGTCCGTCTTCCCCTAGCTTTTCTAAGGCCTGGAAACTGGAGGAAATTCAAATCAAATTAGTTGCACATTAAAAAATAAACAGACAAGCAATTCCGGTGCCCACCTAACAAAAGCCCTCACCAGTTCCAAAATACGGTTTTGGGAGGGAAGAGGGGGAGGCGAACTAGAAAAGCAGGGATGGAGAGATAAACGTGTGCATTTTTGGCCCCAGCGTCATCTCCATCGCAGCCAAATTCTACATTTTGTCTAAAGAAACGCTGGGCCGGAGAGAAAAGAAAATAAAAGTTGTAACTCTTAAGGAAGTCTGCAATCGGCACTGTCTGGATAAAACGCCAGCGCTTCCTCCGTCTGGGACCACAGGGTGGGAAACCCTGCAACCCTAGCCGCGCACTCCCGGAGGGCGCTCCGCCATCGGCGCCGCCCGGTGGCCCAGCCCGGTCTCGGGGGACTCCGGCCGGGTCCCCCGGGCTCCGCGCCCTGGCGCGGGGAAAACTTGGCGGGCACAGCCCGTGGCCCCACTTTCCGCGGAGACTGACAGGCCCTCCCCACG